CACCTTCAGGCCATTTCAGGGTGGTTGACAGTGAGCAGCATCAGAAAAGATGTCAAGTATCCCCTTGATTATATTCCAGGTTAGGCTTATGAATCTTTTCTTTTGCTTCATGCCTTGCTGAAGTTTTAATAGTAGATGCAAAAATGTTACCTAGTTAGCTGAGTTTCAGCATGTTTTACTTAGTGTAGTTTCAGGTGCTATCCATATTTAGAAGTAGGGACAAAGAAAATTTTGACAACTGAGATTCAAAACCTACAAATATAGGCCAAGTTACAGAAGTATGGAGACAAACTTTTAACAAGGTCTGTTGTGATAGAACAATGGGTAATGGTTTTAAACTGAAAGAGGTTAGATTTAGATATAAGGAAGAAGTTTATTACAGTGAGGGTGGTGAAACACTGTAACAGTGTAACAGGTTGCTGAAAGAGGTGGTGGATGGTGCATCCCTGGAAACATTCAAGGTCAGTCAGGGCGAGGCTCAGAGCATCTGGATCTAGCTGATGATGTCCCTGTCCATGGTAAGGATGTTTGACTAGACGACCTGTGTATGTGCGCCATGCACAGGTATGTTCCTGCTGATGTGGTTGAAGTGGTTTAAGATGTTACTGCCCAGAGGTTGATGATGTTAAGTTATCCCTTCTGTAGCTGAGAAGCAGGAGCTTACACCCTGAGACTTGCTAGGTGGATTTTTTGAGAGAAGTAAAGATTGGCTTGTTTGAATTGGCATTGGAATGACTACAAGTGTTGCCATTAGGTCAGTTTCATTTCCACTGTGGAGGTTAAGGAAGCACATATCTTACTGCATTGTTAGACTTTGCAGTCTGGGTTTTTTTCAGAGAATGATAATGATAGTGGATAGGTGTTTGGTTTTTTTTTTCTTACTACATTTCCTCTGAAACAGCAATGAGGGTAGTTTTAAATGCTGGCATATGCAAAAAGAATCACTGAGCTTTCTTTCCAAAAAGTTGTTGAAAAGTATTTATTTGCTCTGTGCTGAACTGCCTTTCAGAAGAGTTGTTTAAAGAAATGAGAAACTTCAGCAATAGGCTTAGTTTTACTTTTCAGGGATATATTTAATAAGCATGGCAGCATTTCATGAGTAGGCTTTTAATATGAAACTACATAATGTACAGATGTTACCGGATATGCAAATTGGGGTTTAGTTTTTATTTTTTATGAGGTGATGGTAAAGAAGAACAGGAATCTTCAAAATTCTCTTTCTGGAGAGCTAGTGTAATGTCTTTTGTCATTTGAGACTTGTTTTTTGTGTTTGAATCTTGTTTGTGCAAGTAAAACACATAAAATGTATTTCTTGCCTGGTCACAAAAGTGTAGAAAACCTCTGACCAGACTAGTATTTTAATAGTCTTTGTAAAAAAATTCTTGGGAAAATCAGAGAGTTACTAAATTGAGTTTTATGTATTAAATGCTCTCATGTTAGGCATTCTAAATTTATGTAAAGTAGGTGCAGCTTCCTTGCAAATATTGTAAGTGTAGACCAGCTAATAATGAAGAAATTTTGGTTTCTAGCTGATCTTGAGTTTATGGAGCTTTGCTTCATCTTGAAGAAGAAAAAAAGTCGTAATATTTGATACAGAAACAATGGAAGGAAAGGATGTGAGAGTACTGTCAGATGGTGTAATGTTTGTTCTGAATCCTGCAGTCAGAATAGTTTTCGTTTTCTCCTGTGTCCATACAAAATTCTTTTGGCATTCATTTAGTTCTGCAGAAGTTCAAGGAGCTCCTTTTCATGTGCATTTGATTGCAGGACTAATGTTGTGAATCAGCATGGTATCTTAGTAAAATGCTGCTATATTGGAGAAAAAAACTCTAGATCAACCAGGCATACAATTTGATGTGAGTTCTTAACTATTAACTAGTGGTGTTTTTTTTAATTTGATTATACTGATAATCAAACTTTAATGTAACTGATCCCTTGGTCAGTTCAATATCACTGATATACATGTTTTGGTTCTCCCGTAGCGGCTTACAGCTAATCCAGGAGGTAAACAACGTAGCAGACTGTCCATTATGGCTCAGCATCTCTGCAGTGTTGAAAACTGTTTCATAATTCCAGGTCAAGCCTTTGTTCCAAAGCCGGAGGTAGGTTTTGCTGTATTTATATGGGGGTGTTTTGTTAGTTTGTCAGTCAAGCAACATATCTCATTTTGAGTAAGGAACACTGCTCTATTTCAACATCTCCATGCTATGAAGTGCGGTGATGTGAAATTCCTGTAAACGAAGTGTGCTTACTCTTAAGAAGTTGCTTTTCTTTTTGGTTCCTCAGAATTTGGCTTTGACCTTCAAACATGTCTGCAAGATCAGTGTACTTCTTTGGGTGTTTGTGGAGAGTGAGATTAGGATTTAATGGCAGGATAGTCTGCTACTATTGTAGCATTTTTAGAGAGCCTGCTGCTTTACGTTTTGCATTTATAAACAGTTTGGGAATTGTGCCTAGAGAATTTGATGGGTTTTTTGAAAGACTGCTTTTAATTTGTCATCTTTGTCAAAGATCTCTATTTTTACCATGTTTATAAATCTTTGTTTCACCGTAGTCATCTTTAGCATATTATACTCCCTCCTGTTTGCTATAGCACTTTGTCACCTATACCCCTTTGCCTGTTTAAAAAAGTAACAATCTTTTCTACTTCCTATCTGTGAGGCAGAGTGAGTAGAGAACAGTCTCTTTGTTGTCCTCTTATCTACTGTCACTGGTTTTTATTAATAGCCATTATGATTACAGGAATCAAAAATTAATAAATTAGTCTTATTTTGGACAAGAATGTTTTTTTGGTTTGGTTTGTGGGGTTTTTTGTAAAAATTTGTGCCTGACATTAAGTGAGGTCTGTTTCCCCTGAATGTGTGTGGAAATCATAGGATCATAGACATATTTGGGTTGGAAGGAACCTTTGAAGGTCATCTAGTCCCATCCCCATGCAATGAGTAGGAGCATCTTCAACTAGATTAGGTTTCTCAAAGCTCAGTCCAATCTGACCTTGAGTGTGTCCAGGGATGGGGCAGCCACCATCTCTCGGGGCAATATGTTTCAGTGTTTTACCACCCTCATTGTAAAAATTTTCTTCCTTATATCTAATCTAAATCAACCTTCTTTTATGTCCTATCAAACTGCTGTTCTGTTTCAGAAATGAACTTGCAGCTTCTTAAAGTCCCTCTTAAACTGGTTGGTTCAGCTTTTCATTACATCTCCATTTCATCTGATTGCAGTCTCTGTCAAGAGATTTTCAGGCATATCTCTTGAGAACCTTTGGAAGGTTATTCTCTCTCATTTATCACAAAATTCCAATTTTATGGTGGTGGTTTCTCAATGGCAGATGCAATTTGAGTACTAGTAGTGCTAGTGTAGTCAAAAGTTTTGTGCAGCCTGTGTCTCAGAATTGGGAAGCTATAACTAATATTCCCTTTTTCCTGTACTGAAAAGGCCATAGTTGACCAAGAGAGAGGTAGCTTACAAAGTTGTGACAAATATCTTAGTTCAAGCATATCCTACAGTTAGTTGGTGCTCTGTTGAATAAAAAAAGCAGTACCACTAAATGCAAGCATATTTTTATGTAATGTATTTCTTTGAGTTAAAACAAGAATTGCTTATATTGCAAATGCAGAAAGTACAATTTTTTCAGACAGAACTGGCACCTGTTTTCACTATATTTTGTTTTCTTCAAACTCCTGTTGTAGATTGATTTTCTCAATATGTCTTCTCATAGAACCTGTTTCCTTGGAAAGGTCCTTCAGCATGTTGTGAATGAAGGGCTCAGTGCTTGATTTTTTGTTTCATAGCTATACAAAGTTCAGGTACTTCTGTATAAAGTTTCAGGAAGAAAAATTTCTAGTGCCTGTAACCGATAAATACTTCATTTTGCTCATAGGATGCAATTATTACCTTTCTCTTATGCCCTGCTGTAAAATGATGCCTTTTGGTTATAATTTTACAGATGTTAATTTTAATTAACATACAGAGCAATGATGACGTCTTAGTGTCATGTCAAACCCCTTATTAAAGGTGGAGATGCATGTTTGTGAGAATGAGTTGTTTACCTCAATTCTCACAATGTATAAATATTATTTCAACAGTACTATGAATGTTGAGACATAAAAGACTCTTGGTTTATGGAATGGAACGGTGCTGCACGGCATTGCGTCTAAGAAAAGAAAATTTGGCTTTTTGGTCATAATTAAGACTCTGCAATACCAAATAACTGCTGATAGTAGCAGTAGGAATAGTACAAAACAAACTCCTTGATTAATACATAGGAAACTCAAAATGGCTGTAACAGTAGTAAAAAAGGCAGATGTAATGCCATTTTATGTATGAAGAATGAAGACTCTCTGTGAATAAAAATTCTTTACATGTTAAATTCATAAAACAGTCTACTTTCCAAAATGCTATAGCAGAAGATCTTACTTCTTCCAACTTAATGAACATATAATGTTTAGGCTCCTTCATACTGTTTTTGCAAATTTCAGGCTAATAACATGGGAAATGAAAGTTGTATATAAATACGCAGAATAAATAGCAGTTGGTTTTATTGAAAGACTCATCCAGCGTTACAATATTGCTAAATTTAAAGGCCTGAATCGTACCCCTTTTCATTCACAATATGGTTGTTGTTTAGGGAAGTATTTAGATACAACATACCTTGCCAGTGACCAATACAAAACAAAATCTGTGTGGTGAAAGAAAAGGTTAAAGGATTTAAGATAATTATTCAAAACAAAGGAGTTAAGAAAAGAAATAAAGGAGCTGTCTCTTTATCATTGTTGTATGCTACATTTTACAGTAAGAGAATACATGGACGTGGACCTGAAAGAGACCCTACAGGAATGATTAAAAGGACTTATAAAGTTCTTTTAGAAGTTCAGAACTGTAGAAGACAATAAGTGGTAGTGGTATTTGATCTGTTAATAGCTTCTTTCAGCATGTGTAAGCCAGAATGCTTACAGATTTTTCTTGACCATAGATAGTTTGGTTTATATGCTGTTTGTTACAATTGGCAGGTGTTTTCAGAGTTATGGTTACATTTCTGTTGTTGTATTGCTCCTCATTATCTAACATTCATTGTGCAGTGATAGATTAGTAGCAGTTGGTGAATGTCCAGCAGACATTTCTTTACAATAATCAATGAAACTCACAGCAGGTGGCAGTCTGGGGTGCGTGAGCTGTATTTGGCAAGATCTAAATGGTACTGCTGATTCTTCATGGTGATATGCAGAGTATACAGTGCAGCTACGGTTTGGAGCCATAGGCTTTTGTTGTGGGGTTTTTTGTTCGTTGGGTTTTTTTGTGGTGTTGTTTGTTTGGTTTTTTGTTATGAAATCTAGTTACCGAGGCAATTTACAATTGAAAATAAAAGGCAGATGTGTCTGCTTTTTAAAAACCATTGAATTGGGCTTCTCGGACAAATAATGTTTGAGCTTCTTTTCCTTGCATCATAACTCAGGTAGAGATAAAAATGTAAACTACACTATAAAATGTTACATTATTGAAAGCCTGATTTGCTAAATAGAAAGCAGTTAGTCTTTAATCATCTTTCCTATAACAAGACATCGGTACCTTAATTGTACAGTCAGTTGTGTTTGAAAATAGTTCCTTTTTCTTCAGTAAATGCTACGTGGAAAGTCAGCATGGTTTGAAAAATCAGCAAAATAAAGTACTTTTGTAGCAGACAAGTATCATTTTCTACTTCTTTCCTTTTTGTGGATGCCCCTATGAATTAAATACCTTGCATAAACATAACTGCAACCCAGGTATAGGAAAAGTGCTCAGTTATACATTCTTTGAAATAATCAAACTACACTTAGCACATTAAAAAACCCTTGAATGGATAGAAATAACTATTTACACATAGTCCTTCAGGTTGTAACCTGCATTGCTCTCCTGCTCTGTGGATGGGAAATGGTGCTGCTTTGGAGGGTAAACCCATCCTCCTTGCTGCTTGTTAAAACACGAAGTGCAGAAAATCACACCTGCGATAAGCAGAAAGCCTGCTGAAATGAATCCTGTATAAACTGCTCCTCCTGGTTCATGTTTACTGCTCTCTGGAATGGTCTGGTCCAGAAAATTTGAAATAATTTCTCTTGTGTACCAGGATGTTGGTACTAATCCAGAGATTCCTGCAAGAATGAAGCAGATTCCTCCAGCAAAACAAGCGTGACTTTTGCTGTCACTGTCCCCTCCCAACTTTGTGCATTTCATTCCAACTGTAGTGATGCAGATCCCAAATGCTGATAGGATACAAGACAGTACCATGGTGGTCCGTGCAGCCTGGATGTAGACGGGGAGAGAGAGAATGGAGTATTTCAGGGTACAGCTAAACATCCCAGTGCTGTACCAGGTGCAGTCCATCCACAGTCCTTGCATCTGTGTTATAGCTGTTATGATATTTGAGCCAACATCTGCATTTACCTTCCAGTTTGGTAGCAGGGTGGCCGCGATATCTCCAAAGACACCAAACAAAGCCAGAATAAAAGCAAAGAACTGCAGACTTGCTGATGCCATGATGAATATCTGCTGTCACCTTTTGTCTGTCCTTTCTCTCGAGAAAATGAGTGCCAAGCTGTAGCCCTCTGTGTAATAGGGAAGGGGGGGGGGGGAGGAGAAGTCCGAGGGGGAAAAGAAAAAGAAATCAGCAAACAAAAAATGCTTGCCTTTAAAATCAGAGCTATCTGAATGAATATCTGAACATGACCCTGCAGCAGCTGAGCAGCTGTACACCAGGTACTTGAACAGAAATGATGGCAAATGGACAGTGTTTTAGAATTGCTTGTAAAAAGGAGCTGCTGCCCTTTCATACATGATTGCAAGCCATCAAGCAAAACTTATTTTACTGCAGTTGGTTTTGGTAATAGCAGACAGATTGCAGGCTTACTAGGTAAATACGCATTGTAAGGGGAACATTAGGAACTTGCAGATTAGAAGTCATTGCGGTAGAAAAACACTGGTAGAAAATATATTATATTCTTCAAGTACCTTATTTGTGTTGATGGCTGTTGTCAGCTCCTGACGGTTGACTATTTTATAGTAAGGTATACTGTTATACTCTCTCTTGCGTAAACTGTGGTTAAAGGTAACCCTTTATTCCTGTTACTTAAATATTACCTGTTCAGCTTTTTAATAACTGTTACAAAATTTCTTGGTTTTGAAGGAGAATAAAATTGAATTTAGTTTTTGCAGTATGTTCACAATTTAGTCACATGTGACTTTTCTAAATCAATATTTTATTTTCAGTCAGTGATTCCCATTCCTTGACTTAGAGCAGCAGTATTTAGCAAGTCATAAGAGTGAATATGATCTGCTTCCATCTCTAAAACGTGGGTTTTTTTAATACTGGTATGAAACAACTCATTTGTGGAAGTGTATTTTTTTAATCAGTCTCCTGCCTGAAATAATTTGCAAATTTGCCATGAAGTGGCAGTTTTAAAAGTTCATTAAAAAAAGCTCCCTGCTATTCTTGCATAAAGAGTCCAATTTCATTTGACAGATAAGAACATTTTAGGCAGTATGATAACTGTGCACCTGGGCAGATTGAACTTCTGCGGTTACATCAGCTGGACTGTTGGGATAGCAGATGAAGAACAATGGTTTGAAACGTCTGAGAGGATGATTAGAAATGGTGCCCTGCCCTGCCTTTTGCGTGGGGCTGTATAATTGGCAGGTTTGTCTTTTATCATAAATAAAAAAAGGGCTAACCTCAATCTGGATTATGCTAAGACATTCTATCTAAATATGAACAATAACATTGAAATTGGTCTTTAGCATTAGAATTTTTGAAAAACCATAATAATAGGGAATAAAATTGAAATAAGTGGAACGCAAAATGTCTGTAGCATTTTACTCATTTCAGTTCATAATACATAAGACAACAAGTTGATTATTCAACGTTGATCAACGTGTTCTATCAGTCTTCAGTGCCATTACTTAACTAATTAATATATTTATCCTATATAAATATATTATATTTAATGTTATTATTCTCTATAATAGTATAATATAATCCTCTAGATCCTCTATACAATATATAATTTATATATTTATACTTTAATTTTTATATTGTACTTATTTCAGGTAATGGTTCAAGGATATGTTAACTCTGTCCAGTATATATATATATATTAAAAATGCTTATAGTTAAGGTGAGAATATTAACAGCTTCTCATTTTTAAAATCTTACTTCAAAGAACTGCCTATTTCCAAATCCCTCCACTTTGTTCAGATTGTGAAGAGGTGCTGTGGCAAATACATATTATTTGCTGTACAGGCCCGTGGAAGAGATGGCTTAACTTCCTTTTACAGAAGGAACTGACACATCCGGGTAGCTCAAAACTCATTCAAAAGCATATTGTGGAACAGCTAATTAGGTTCTTGAGTCAGCCTTTTTCGTTGCTTCCTTTTTAAAATTTCAGTATATACAAACATGCAAGCATAAATGCAAAACACTGCAGTTGGTAGCCATACATTACATTTAATTGGATGAACCAAGTTAAAGGCATGATAAATTCAAGTATAAGCACTACAGTTGTAATGAAAAATACAGTCATGTTTCATTCCTGTTTGTGTAGGACTTACTGCTGGATGTGAGGTCTGAGATGTTTTCTTCACTGTAGATGTCCTGGAAAATGCAGTTTCTCTTGAATGGAACTATCCCTTCTCATATAAAACTGCATTGGCATGTATTAACAAAATTTCTTGGAATGTTTTTTTTTTTCTGTTCTCTACAGCAAGTGCATTACTGCTGTTTGTTCTCTCTCTTAGTTCCATCTACCCGAGAATAAAGGAGTACTTTGTTTAATGAGTTTTGTTTGAAAAACGCTCAGTAAGGGAAAGCAAAGAGATTATGGAATAAAACAGACAGAGGCCCTTAGTCCTAAATACATAATGATGTCCAGGTTCTATGATGAAAAGTGTGAACAGTGATTAAACAGAGTAAAATCTTGAGAATCCAGAAACCGTAGACTTATAGAGTGGGGGAGGAAATCATTTAAGTTGCACTGAGAGCCAAAGGGTTTTGTTGTTTGTCAGTTGTTGTTTTTTTCATCACAGATAATCTTATTAAAAGTTTAAATTTCCTAGAAGAGAACTGTGCAATTTATTTTAATTTGTAATTGGAACAGCAGGGCATTTTTCTTCAGCTACACGCTTTATTTATCTTTCCTGATAGCTTTAGCCTTCCGTAGGTCATCTTATAACTTGTTACCTTTGTATGAGGCTGTATAAAAGAATGAAGAAATAAAGCTACTAATAAAGCTTATATGGTAACTGCAGCACATTGGAGAAGTGGGCTTGACAAGTTGGTGTGCGAAATCTAAAAGTTAGGAGAAAAGTCTTGGTCATTGCAGCAATGATACACCCATAGGTTCTGTACCTGACTTCTGGTTTCCTGTGATTCTCTTTGTGAGCCCAATGTGAATGGAGTTATTACAAAGCTGTTCTTACCAGAAATTATTGCTGTCAGTGAGTGGCGTAGTTACTTTGTGCTGGAAGTGAACCAAAAGTAAACTCTCGTATAGGAACAAGTTTGCTATGAGATGCACGTCTGGTGTTAGACCTAATATTTGTCTGTAGTAGATAGATAAAATGCTGCTGTTGAACACTTGGTTTGTGAAAGTGCTGGCTTAGAACTATCTCAGTAGGATCTCAAGCAGTCTGTTTTAATGAAGTTGTAATATGTTCTGCTTAGGTTTCAGTTCCCTATGAGTAAATTGCAGCCTGAGGAAAGGTTATGTGGGTTTGATTTTAATACAGCCCTGTCCCAAGATACATGTATTGCCCATTATGAGACCTTTATTGTCAACAATTAGTAAAAACTGTCTCACTTGAGTTTATTCTGATTTAGAGTGTTGGTTTCATTAGCAAGGCAGCAGACTTGCCTGGATTAAATTCTACTCTGTCATGTGTTCCTCCCACCCTACCAGAACATAAACCTTCATTGTACTGATACACTAAAACAGTAAGGGATGAATAATTGCTGTACTATTGGCAGTTCAGGATAGATCAGTTGAATGATTTTCATATTCATTAATTTGTAAGACTTGAGTGCTATTTTGTAAATATTTTTAACATACTTAGTGGGGTGAAAAGTGTTATTCATAAAATTGTCATCAAATTGACTTGTGTATTTTAAGTGCTCTTGTGTACTCTATTGGCTTTCATAATTCTACTCTTTATTTTATGCATATTAAAAAGATTAAGGAAAAATAGCATGTATAATTTTAAAGGAGTGACCAATTACAAGTGAAAAGTTTTCCCCTATATCTGTTGCTATAGTAACCAGGCAGCTTTCCTGCGGTCCAAAGAAAACAGTGTCTGTAATGGAACTGAGAAGTGCTGTGTTTTGTTTCAGAAGCAGAAATTATTGCCCACTGGCCTTGAGATTGCAAATTGAGCTGTTTGGCTCTGAAGTGGTACACTGCATCTAGATGGTGTTCTTTTCTCCTTCAGAAATTTTTGTTAAAGACGCAGCTCTAACTCCCAAAGAGCCCTCATTTCTCATGAGCAGTTCTGCAAAATTGAGGTGACTAGGAGATGCCACAGGGTCTCTGGTTGTTTTCTTACCCCTAATTTTGTGGGGGAAATACCTAGTTTTATTTCTTGACAATACACAAATGCATGTGTAAATAAGCCCTTAGTACATGTGAAGTATGTATTTTCTCTGTTCAAAAAGATTAACTTTTCTTACACTTAGTGTGAACACAAGTTTTTTCTGTATTCCTTTGGTCTTCCTCATAGGTGGCAGTAACCTGTGGCAAAGGCAGAAGCTATGAATACTTGAAAATTAAAAATCTGCTTTGGAAAATATACGTATGTGCATTTCACTGCAGATTCCATATGTCAAGTTTTCTTCGTCACCTGATTTTTAAATAAGTTCTTGTGCTTCACATTTTAGTAATTTTAAGTGTTTTTGTGCCTTATTCTTAACTCTAGCTTTCAGAAAAGGTGGGCGAGTAGAGAAAAAACATTCAGTAGCATAAACTTGAGATCAGTAGTGCTAATGCTGGAAACTTGTTGTGGTTTTTTTTTTTTTTCATCAGCACCATTAATTGGTATTTTCTTTCCTTTCTCTAGCCAGTGTTTTTGTTCAGCTTTGTAAGTTCTGTCTACAGGAAAAACCTAATATTGTTTGGATTTTGTGATTCTGTTGAAATATAGTACTTTGTGCGTTGAAGCAGTTGTACTGGGTAGATGTACTTGACAGCTGAGCTGTTCCCACTGAAAGAACAATTTGGATGGATAGTACCTTTGTGTCAGAAGAATATGTCCACATCAGAGGTTGCTATGAGCAATTTTGGTTGAAGCAGTAGGAAAAACCTTTCAAGTACCCTCATGATCTGGGCTATCTCAATTGGTACACTGAGTGTGTGCTTAGAGCAGCAGCTGTTCTTTAGCCTGTGTGTGTCTCTTATTTCCATCAGAACTAGCACATCTTCAGTTTAATGTCACATAGAATCTGTTCTATGAATGCCAATATTGGCTGTCAAACCTTTTAAAAAAAAATCTTATTAGCAGACTCTTTTAATAAGAGACTGAATATCTTTTAAAATCCGGTACTTAAAAATTTTTAGTCATTTAGTACCAGTACTTGTACAAATTGTACAAATTTTCAGTGTGCTCTTTCACAGAATATTTTCCTTTTTATTGTTGTTAATATCTAGTTTGGAAGACAAACTTCTTTATTCATTGCTGTGCAGAACTGGATTTTTAGCCCAGCTTCTGTTTTTTAATACAGAAGTCTGAATTCAGGGCATTTCTATATAATACAGTAGTTGTATCACATATAGATATGTACATATAAAAACCATTAAATGTGCACATGTAACCTCAGTCCTTTTCAGACACAGGGAAAGTGACCGTTCTGTCAGCCAAGCTGATTTTAGAACTATAAAAGAATATATACAAGCTTACCTGTGTGGAATCATTCAAACATAATTTTGGATTAAGTGTGATATAGAGTTTAAATACAGAGTTGTGTGGTCACTTAAGATGAGTGCAAACTTATTTCTACCTACCATTCCTTTAAATAGGCTAGCATTTTAATAGTATGTTGAAAAGTAATTCCTTGGCTTACATTTTAGAAAAGCCCTAGAGCAACAGAAAACATACAGGGAATGGGTTTGATTTCTAATTATAATACCAATTTTCTCCAGCTGCCCTTCAGCCTGTATATCAAATATTGTCTAATTTGTGTATTATGTCAGAATTGTCTTGTGGAAGGATCTGAAGACAGAAGTGCTAATTACTTTCCAGATTATATGGAAGTTGTGCCATGGGGAAAAAAGAACCAAGTACTAATGGCATTTGAACTAATTGGAAATATGTAGATAACTAAGACTAAAATTATGTAGGGCCTTGAAAGCTAAATCTTTATATCTTTATATTCAATACTACGACACTGGTCACTGCACAGCTGTGTTACCTGTCGCAATAATGTCTTCCTATGTTGTGCCTGTTTTCTGATGTCTGGCCAGTTAACTGAGAAGTAATGTGTACCAAAGGAATATGTGTACTCAAATTTTTCTTTCTTTTCCATATAGGTGGATGTGGCTGTGGTGCATTTCACTCCATTGGTGCAACCAAAGATACAGCAACCGTTTGAGCTAGTAGAAAAAGTGGTTCGTAGTGTTTTCCAGTTTAGAAGAAAATACTGTTTCCGTGGACTTGAGTAAGGATTTTTAATGAAAAATTCTCAGATAATGTCTTTGTAAATGCATCAGCTACTAAATCAGTTACCTATGCATTTGATTTTATTCCTCCCATTTTACAGTTGTCATTATAGTTCATTAGATCTTTCCATTTCAGAATTTCTGAAGACAAATTCGGAGATTAATATCTTTCTGATGTAATTATATAATAATTACTTGGCATTTTTGTTAGTGCAGTTGAAGTTGCTAAAATCACTAGAATAAATTGGTCATCTTTTCAGTAGTTTGTCTGTCTCAGAAATGAAAACAACCCAGCCCAACCACAAAAATTACTGCATGATTAAGTTAAAAACCAAAAGTATCAAAATTCAGAATCAAAGATGGCAGTGTGAGGAGGTTTTGGTGGAAGTTTGAAGAGAACGTCATCTGTAGCAAATTTTACTTATTTGGGGATAATGTCAAAAGGTCAAATTCTTGTTTCTGTGCTTGCCCTTTTATTGAGCTCTTACTGGTTCTTTTAAAATCCCCGTGTCTTACTGAGGAAATTTACTAGGTTCTCTAATGTGAGAAACCCGCAGTCTCTTCGCCAGAGGTCCTGTTAAAACTCCAGCATAGCCACGTGTCTGACTTGGTATGGGCAAAACCCAGCACTCCGCACTGTAGAATTTGTGACAGATGCTGTTAGGACTAGAAGGATGCTCCTGCAGCTTGGGCTAGCTGAGTTTGTTGGGCATAGTTTTGGTGTGATTCAGTCTAGAATTAGAGTGGATGCCACCTTACTGAACTACAAGCCTTATATGTCACTATTTTAAAGGTGAACAAAGAATTTTACCTCTAGTTTTGGTTTGTTTGGTTTTTATTCTTGAGGCCATGAATGCCACTGATGTCTGGGATGCAGACATTGGATCTAAAATGAGTACTGATTTGCCTGTGTTAAGGTTTGAGTATGCATTTGGAGGTGTTTAGAAAAAGACGTATCCAAAGTCTAGATTGATTTGTATTTGATTTACAGGGTGGTAGTGGCTTTCTTTTTTTCTTCTTTTTTTTTGTGTGTGAAAGAATGTTTCAGCGACAGTGTAAGCAGAAGGCATGTGCAATCAGCACATCTATGTTACGTACAATATTTTTGCCAAAGCTGAAAAAAAAAGAAACCCAACTATTGTGTAATCTCAAATTGCTAATAACTGCTTTACATTCTTTTGAGGCAAGGAGGGGGAATCTGAACTTTTGGACGTCAAGTATTCCCTAGCAGCTTATCATACTTTAGCCCTAGTATGCAGCTAAGAAACACAATCCTCTTATTCTTTAGCTGACCTGAAAAAAATAGCAAATTTTAGCGTACATTAAAGCTGCTAAGTTCATTTTAAGGTTATCTATCACATATAGCGTATAAAAACAAGGTATAGAATCAGTTCACATTTGTCTGTAAATTCTGGCTCCAGTATGTCTTTTAACTACCCAATCAAAGAATTACTTCAGGGATATTGAAATAAGGATTGATCCATTTTTAACCTTGCTGACTTGGATGCTGAACTAATGGGTTATACAGAGCTTTTCGATTAGTTTGTCTAGCCAACCTGCAAAACACATCTGGCATACGGGAGTGTTACTGTATTAGATGCACAACATTTTTAGATATTATGTATGTATCATAGATACAACTTGAAAATTGAGACACA